GAGTCTGTCCTGGATCCGCTTATGTTTATGCACAGCTGCACCCAGCTTGCGAGAGCATTCGAGTAAACATCACTAACATGAGATACCGGCACTGATGCCTGGATGGTTTTGATGCTTATGCCGATAATGGAATTAGCTGTCTTAACAGTTTACGATTGCATTTAATAATATTTTCATTGGAGGTTAATGTTTTTTCAAAATTTCCAATCTTTGGGTTTTAAAAAAATATTTAAGGTCCTTTCAGTTTTTTTGAACACATTTGGTTCTTACAATAGCTTTTTTACATATATTAGTTTCCCCTTATAAATTCACATCAACGTATTATTTGACTGGTACATTAACATTGCCAGCTTCTTCGTGTATGCTAGTTCTAGTAACTTTTATACATTCTCGTAGACAAATAACTGGCACTGTTACATTAGCATAGTCGTTTCTTTTGAGGACATTAGTTTTTCGACGATTTTTCCTTGTTCTCTACTTTTCATCATTTTTTTGTACTCGACTAATTTCAGAAGTCAATTTATAGGGGGTTTTTTGGAACCAGTGGTTTTTTTCTGAAATGTTCTTAATGTCAGTTTTGCAGCATCTCAGCTGGGCGCTATGTTGGATATGTTAACGGATCGTTGTGCATTACTGGCACTGGTTATGTATTGTGGACATCTGTATCCCAGTTACATGTTCTTTTTTCAAATGTCAGCAGTGATTGATATCGCCTCGCATTGGCTTCATTTTCACGTCACATACCTGATGGGCAAAACGACACATAAGGTTATAGTAGTTTTAATAGCTTATTGAACTGTGGATTTTTACGACATCAGTAGAATTAGGGCCATTAGGACAATTTTTTTGATGATATGAAGTTGAGCTGGAAAGGCCGGGCAAAGTTACCCATGACTGTATCCTAGTAATATATGAGACATGGGCTTAGACATGGGGCAATTGGTGAGACTCGGCCGATAACATACCTCACCTAGCATTCCTCTTCCCCCGTCCCTCTCCCCTTTCTGCCGCTCAACCACGCGTTTCAGCCGTGGTGCGCTCGGTAGCACTACCCTGCGCTCCTGGCAAAGTGCCAAGCGAAGTAGGGAACCTCGCCATGAAATAGCGTTAGCAGAGATGCTAGGGCACCGGCTGAGCCGAGTTTTAAATAACTGCCCAAACATAGTAATCTTGATATTAGAAAAATGTTGCGGCTACTTCCGAGTACTTCAGAGACCTCAGAGAGAAGGTGAACACGGAAGGAATTTAGTTTCCATCAGCTTAACTGTACCCGAAGGGTGGGAGTATTCCAGTAACATCACTAACATGGGATACACTGATATCCCGAAAGATCCTGCTTTTTTTGATAAAATAGAACAAAACTTAGAATGAATCAATATTGCAGCAATCCACGAATCCACTGTTGCATCTGTACTATACGTCGCCGGCATTTCTGTTCGGGATGTGTTTTGGCAACGAAGCATTCTATGGCTTGATGTACGTGAACCATTTCTGGCCTGGTCCAGGCGTTCATGGCTTCCATTTCATTGCACTCCTGGCAGCACTAATGTTCCCAATCGCACTTCTAAAAACGGTCATTAGCCTGGTGCATTTATGCACTGCTGCACAAACATTAGCCAAAATGGATCGGAAAACAATCAGGCAATATAGGTAGAATAAAATACAAGTATTATTGGCACGTGTAAAATAACTATAGCGCTTAACGTACGTAATTTTACCGCAATCGCATTTGGAAGAGCAATGCGTTTTCATAAAATTTATTGTTTGTGTAAACTTTCTAAACGATTTTTTGAC